CTGGCGCACTTTCTCTCATGCACCGACATATCAGTCTGCACACCTCCGGGAATGCAGTGACATTTTTGCGTACCCAACCAAGACCCCGTCAAAAGATTAGCTATCTTTGATAAGCTTCTCCGAGAGGCTGGGCACCGTGATGCCGACCTGGTGCAGAACTCTTGCATCGATGCTAGCACGTGAACTTCACCGTGCCGCGGTCTCTCGCGCAGGAAATAACGATGGCCAACACTCGCTCATCTGGTGATGCCCTCAGAGGCGGTTGGCCGGAGCCCTGAGACAAAGCTTCTTTAGGACCCACATCAGTGGTGTCCCGAAGATTCGGGAGATGGCAGGGGGACAAGTGCGCACCCAGGCCAAAGACGAAGCCTTCCTTTCGGTCTTCAATCCGCAGGCAAACAAAGCAGAGCTGTTCTCCCAGAAGGTGCTACGCTTCGGTGCGCGATCATCTGTACACAGTTTCATTCGCACCTCAACTCACTTTACTACTCCTACATTGGAGCATCTTCGTGGGCGACTACATCGGTGTGGAAGTTCCCCCACTGCCAAGGTTTTTGAATTGTGCGTAGAAACTCTGTTCCGCATCCTAGATTGGGAAACCTCTGCAGACAAGGATCACCCTTTCGGACCGATCTCAATTGCCCTAGGAATCGAGTTCGATACGACGGAGGCCAAGATAGGTTTCGTTTACCTCTGCAACACCAGCAAGCGGAAGCAAGAGCTGATCGATTTGATTTCCGACATTCTGTCTTGCGGGCTCCTGACCGTCAAGGAGTGCCAACGCCTGAGAGGCAGAATCCAGTTTGCGTCAAATCAAGTGGCCGGGAAGTGAGTGGCGACCCCAGGGTCGGCAGTGATCTTCAGCGGAGCTTGCTTTTCCTGCGTGACAATTTCCGCGAGGGCCCGCCTTGAACACGTGCTGCGCCTGTGTGTGGCACATGTACGTTGACGCCTCGCACGACGACGATAGGGTAGGGGGGTCGGGTTGCAAGGTTGCATGCTTTAGCGTGTGAACATGTGACGAGCTCAGGTCCTTGATTAGCCCCAAGAGCGGAAACCCAATCTTTGAATATGAATGCCTCGCCATACTCCTGGGCCTGTGTGTATGGTTGGGTTTAATCCGAGGCTGCAACGTGGTTGTCTTTTCGCGTTTGTGCGATGTCACAAATGCAGGCATGGTACGTGTGACCATGGCCATGTGGATTCATCATTGCAATCGCACAGCATCGGTGCAAACCGTTCATAAAAAAAAGGGAGTGTATGTTCGCGTGCAATGATTTGAATAATATTTGATGACCCAAATATTGTGGGGGACTCATTTTACATACTGCGATATGTTTTGCCACATACATGCTTTGGAAAAAAGCCACCCTTCAATCGTGATTGACAGGGCATTATTTTCAAAGCATGTTCCAGTTTTGAAATTTCTTGGAAATTTCATGTGTGGCAAAACTTATTTTGTACACGTTGTGCACGCAGTTTTCGAGTCCCTTGATTTTTCATGTGCCCATGTGTTGCACGTGAAATATCTGTTCATGCGATTGCTTTTCCATCTCAAGTGGCTGACCGCCGCAAGTTTTGTTTACCCACCCAACCCACCCTGTGTCCAATCCATGTGATCGGTTTTGGTCATGGAGTACCAGTTTTCCGAGCGAAAACAGTACTTCCGGGGGGGATGACATTCACGCGTTTGTGCGATGTCACAAATGCAGGCATGGTACGCGTGACCATGGCCATATGGATTCATCATTGCAATCGCACAGCATCGGTGCAAACCGTTCATAAAAAAAAGGGAGTGTATGTTCGCCTGCAATGATTTGAATAATATTTGATGACCCAAATATTGTGGGGGACTCATTTTACATACTGCGATATGTTTTGCCACACACATGCTTTGGAAATAAATATGAGTCGGATAATCCTTGAATAAGGATATTCGATCAAATCTTCTTCGAAATCGTGAAGGAGTTGTGGATGTTTTGGTTAAGGATTGCTCAAACAGAATAAAAGAGCATCTCGCTCAGTAGTGCGGAGAGTGAGTGTCATTCCATGGTCTCAGGAGCCTGTGATGCAATCCTTGTCAAGGCATGCATAAACTTCGTTGCACCGCCGGCGTGCCAGGTCAGTGATGTTTCTCTCTTCGTTGACAACGGTGCAGCGCGGAGCATCGCAAGGTAGGTGTTGGGCGTACCCGCCACTTGAGGGTAAGATCCTTTGGTTGCAAGACAAGGTGAAGCAAGGTGTTTTCACCCCGCGTCCAGTGCCTACTGCTGACAATGTGTGCGACCTTGGGACCAAGGTTCTAAAGGCCGATATGGTAGCTTATCTCTTGAGCAAGTGCAACATACGAGATTTGAGCTGTGGAAATTCCCTCGTTGGTAAGGCCCAGATCCTTGATGCCGAGGAGCGTTACCGAATCCGCCGGATTTTGAGTCGGAACACTGTGAGCACGAGCCATGTTCTTCAGGTGCTGGCCATTGCGTTGCAAGTTGCCCATGACGATGATGATCCTGATTTTTGGATGAGCCTTGTTGTGAGCATGATTGGGTATGTGCTCGCCTTCGTTGAGCAGTATCCCATTGCCTTGGCGGTTGTTTGTCAGACCATTTTGCTTGGCATGATTACATTCTGCGTGTGGAGGTGCCTTAGGCAAGGTTCGTATCCGTGTGAGCCAAGCATTGCCCAGCCATCAGGTTTGCAGCCGAGGCAGAACGTTGAGAATGTGGGTGACAGAGCTTTTGCAAAGGCCCTGAAGCCGGAGTACCTGCTCCAGGCACCCCAGCAAGGCCATTGCAGGTTGACACGGACGATGATGGTGACCTGATTGGTTTCCCATCCATCCAGGTCAAGATCCCACGTGGTGCTAGGTCAAAGGCCAAGGCTAGCCCCAGCAGAGGTGCAATGGACCCGAGGATCAATGCTACAGGTGCCAATGATGGAGGTGGTCATGTTCCGCACGAGCCAAGCAATGATCCCATGCCCAAAGCCATGCCACGTGCACCAGCAGTTGCCAATCCTCAGCGTGTTTGGGTAGCGCCGCACCAAGGCAAGAAGTTCCAGAAGGGCACGTGCGGCAAAGCACTCCAGATGTCCATGGAGTTGGTTGGCCTGTCACGAGCCGAAGCCGTCGGCCGTGGCTACACGCCGTGCAAAGTTTGCCGACCTTGATTCTTGAGTTGATGCTGATGATGCTGCGCTGGTTGTCAGCGCTGGGGTTCGGTCAGCGACCAGCCGGTTCAGCTGTGGGCCCAGGGTTGACCCAGTTGCATTGTGTAAAGCTTGACATGTACATAGCTTGTGATGCTCATGTTGCGATGTCAGGTACATCGATTCTTGAATCAGATGCGGAGAGAAATTTTCAGCCGAAATGGTCAAACCATCAAATTTGCATCAAAACACGACGTCTTTTCTTGTGATACGCAGCACAGTGCATTTTGCAGCCAATCTTAGGGTCAGTCGTATGCTGACGTTGGGGCAGATTGTGCGAATTTGCATGACCCCACATTAATCTTGAACTATGCTATCTTTTAGGGATTTTGCATTTGTGCCGCACATATTGGGTGTTTCTTGAAAAACTTGTTGCATTCTTGTGCATTGGGCCAGTCAAGCACCCTAGTTCCCTGAGCCTGTGCCGGACTCCCGGAACTAGGCCACGCGTAGTTGTACAGTGCTACGTAGTTGTAACGTACGCTAGACGTAGTCTATCCAAAGGCCTTGAGCCTGGCTAAATCGAGCCCAAAGTTTCACAGGAGCAGTGAACTAAGGTTTTGTTTGAAGTGAGATGGGCAGGAAATCGTTGAACAAAGTACTCCAGTAGCTTCTGTAGCCTTCGAGGCGGGGTACTAACGATTTTCCACTTCACTATGTTTTATGCTGTTTTCATGTTTGCTCCTGTAGTTGAATGACTTGAGTATGTTGAGGCCTTTGTGGATCAAGAAAAGTTCGCAATCCCACTGCATCCGATACAAATTAAGGTGTGGCCGCTCAAGCTGCGAAGTTTTATGCTGAGTGATGTGAGCACTGAATGTCATATCGAGTGATTTGATACCTGCTCATACTCTAATGAAATATGTTTCAATTTGATGAGTATCAATTGCCTGTCATCCATACAAAAAATTCCGTATTTCATTGATGATCTCGCTTGATTGGGTAACGCCAGCGCGCAATCAGGTGAATAAGGTGTTGTCCCAGTGGCACTTGCGAGCTCGCTTGGTACACTTCAAGAAGATCTGCCGAATGGTTGTCAGTGTCAACGACGAGCACATGCTATAACTTTGCTACACGACACTAACCGCGTACTCCGGAAATATCCGTGCAAACCTTCGAGTTGTGAGTTGAGAGAGCAAAGTTAGTTGAGTCCTTTGCATTTTTACAGGGGCCGCATAATCAAAACATGTTGCGGAATGCGGAATTCGTTAAGTTCTGTATTTTTTGCGTTCCCATGCGAAAAGTGTTGTACTCGACTTTGCCATCATGTAGTTGACAATTTAATGAGCTTTGTTTTCCGTAGGTATTTGACGGCGCGTTGTTATTGTCTGTCTATGATTGCTGTGATGTTGAATATGAGACATGTTTTCTCCAAGCATAGGGCCAGGTAGAAGTCCGGTTAGTCCAGTTAACAAAATTGTTTGTAGGGAGTCCAAGATTGGCTGCATCATGACATGCTCGATCAGCTTTCAGTATTTTATGTTTGCATATAGCAGGTGCGTGCAATCGCATGTGCGTCCTGATCGCAGTCCGTGGGTTGACATGTGGGGATTGCGTGGTTGCCGTGTGGCCGGGCTTCCACATCGCAGTTTATGTAGCATTGCTTGACATGTACTGACTGCATGACTCATTTTCTGGGCTATTGAGTTGCGGTAAACATATGTAGACCGTGTGGATAGATGTAAGCATACGTGGACACATCCAACAGTGGTGTTGATGCACAATCAAGCATGTTAAGCCAAGGCGCAAAACGTTTCATTCAAATTGGTAGTCGAGCTTGGGATGCTTCTGCCATGCCGCCCCGGAAGCGTCCAAGTGTTGCTGATTCTGTTGCTTCAACAGGTTGCGAAAAACAGTCTGTCTTCGCGTAGATGCAATTTTTCAATGTTCACGCGCAGGCCCCAGCCGGAAGACGCGAAGCAGACAAGGACTTGCATTAGAGGCCAGTGCATGTAGGACAATGTAGGATTTTCCGCCACCGTCTCTACATGTGGTGCAAGCTTATTCAGTGGCAACAGCAAACACACAAAAATGAAAACATCATGGCAGGAAGCAGATGACGAATCAATGGCTTCTTCACCCGTGCCCGCGAGACATTCCGGTGTGAACCTGAAATCAGTAGGCGCTGGGAATGCAACAATTTTGTGTCACGTTCATTGGTATGGAGGACATCCTGTCGCACAGTCAACGTCTCAGATTTTCAGCAAGCGCGTTTCCATATGAGCTGTATGAAGGGATCACAAGCCGCAGTCGTTTGAGTTATTAGTCACCATTGGCAGCCAATCGCCGAATCTGCTTGAAGGCGCTATGTTGTCGCAGCGCACGAGGCCGATGCTGAGCTCCAAGATGATGCCAGCATCATAGGACCGTGTTCTTTTGGCGTGAAGGCAGATGTTTTGTGAGGGAATTTGCCAGAGCATGTATCCAGGAGACGGAACTAGAGCTGCAGTTCTCTTCCACGAACAAGCTTTTGATGCTGCGATGATGCAGCTGGAAGCTGGTGGATCAGCGTCTTGGTTCACAATTTCTTGAGTGCTGGCTCCTAGTCTGGGTTTTCGTGGGTTGTGGGGTCCTTCAAGGCAACCCTGGCCTGCAAAGATCCCGGAATTGAAGCCCATAGTCGGAGCCAAGATCTTGTGGGCTAGATGTTGAGTTAGTATTGTCAGAGCTTTTTGCAAAACCACGCATCAAAGGAGCTGACGGAAACTAATGAGACAGGCCTGCTGGGAGATGGTCACATCAAACACACGCATGGAAAGATTTGAGCGAACAATCATGCAAATGCGTCCGTTGCTGGATGCACATGAATGCAGACCTCGAAATGCTTTATTTCGTCACTGAAGCGGAAGATGGCCAGGCGCACCTTGCTGCTGGAGCTGCTTGCGTATTTTCAGCTGTTTCGTCTCCAGGTTGAATTTCAGCTTCCTGAAACCGGGTTCATGCAGAAGTTGTCTCGTGGTGGAGAGGTGCCCTGTGCATCAGCAACCTAGTGGATTTGAACAGACCGCTTGCCAGCTCACATATAGCTGGACAGATGCACAGGAGTTCTAAATATGCAGTTCGCAGCCAAAACATCGCTTTTATGGTATGCGTGAAGGTACTCGTCCCAGTGGGCGCAACCTTCACACTCAGGACCTGCACCAAGCTAACGAAACTCTGCACCACCATGTCCTGTTGCATTGCAGGAACATGAGCCCTACCATTCCAGCTAAGCTGCTGGCAGTTGTCCCGCGATAGTTGTGCAGTATTTCTCTGTAGCAGCCAATGTATTCTTTGATTTCACCGCAGAGGAAGTGCAATTGGAGAAGGGTGGCACGTCATGAAGTCAATATGATTTTGATATCCTTCTTTCAGAGGGTTCCCGCTTCATCCAGTGTGCTTTCTCTCAAGATCCCCTTTGCGTTTCTGAACGCAGTGTAACGCAACGCAGGCTATAGGGAGCACGGTGCGGCAACTCTGAAACATAGCTTTATTGTGGCTGTGATCTGCATCGACGATTGCCACGAGCGCAGAAGACTTTGTCATGCTGTTCATGTAGCAGGTGTTTCCAATGCAGATTGCATTACATGCCGCCAGCCACAGCTAATTCACTTGTCGGCTACCGCATCTAATTCAAAGATGTACGAAGCGTGTGCATCTGTGCTTGGCAAAAAAAATCCATGGCACGTGGCTGACATGTGCTTGGCCAGGCACAGGTCATCGAATCTAAAAGGATTTTATGATTTTTCTGGTCGTCCTTCAGCATGCTCGCTGAGGCAAGAATTTGCAGGTAGCATGGTGACAATGATGTGGGCTTCAGCAGCAGAAGCATGAGGTGAGCAGATGTGCACCCTTTTTGTGTGGTATCAGCATTTAGCATGTTAGCCTGCTACACGTAAAGGCCCCTTTGCCTTCATGCTGCCAGCCAGTCCGTGCCAGCTCGAACGTTTCTCTTGGAGAAGATGTCAATGGCTTGGTTAATCCTCATGTTGGAGTTGGACGACATTTGGATACCCAGTAAGTGCAGGCGCCAAGCGCGAACATAAGGTAGCAATGTCTAAATGCAAAGTCGTCAAGCTGGAAGTCCTGGGAGTACTTCAGCGTCTGAGGCCAGCGCCCTGGAGTTTGTGCGATCCCTGCAGCTGAGCACAATGCTCTCCAAGCTCCGAGGATTTCCACGTTGTTAGCAAAGCGCTTTGTTGTAGTGAGGTAGATGACATTTGGCGTGTTCAGCAATGTTTCGGGGCTGCATGTCTGTGAGTGCGATAAGCACTCTGCAGGAGTCCCTTATCTGCTCGAACGTCTTCATCAACATCTCGCCTTGGTGCCACTGGAGACACACCTTGTCTAGTTTGGAATCAGTTGGATCCTCTGCGTGTCAGTAGGCTTCGCCATCTCTTTGGCGCTCCTGAGTAGTGCTGCGCCCAGCCAAGCAACACAGCACATCAATATGAGGCAACGTCTTGCTGCTTGGAGTAAGGACACAGAGCGAGGCAAGCTTGTGGAGAAGAGCGAGGCCCCTGCTTAGCCAGCTATATCTGCTTCGGCAGGATGCTTTTGTTCACAGCTGTGGTAAGCAAAGTTGGTGTCTGTGATGTGTGCAGCTTTTCTTCAGCGTGCAGCTTTCTACGCTGTAAGCTAGCTTTTTTTCAGCATGGCCCGCGTATATTCCTCCAGCGGTCGTGTGGGCGCTGTGGCCCTTGCTGGCCTATGCCTTTGGG